CTCACTCACTCACTCACTCACTCACACACACTCACACACACACACACACACACGTACTGATGGCATTCTGCAGAACACCTTGAACAGGTTTTACTTCTGTAAAGGTCACGCTGAACCTGAGAACATGTTACACTGCCGTTCATTAAACATGAAGTTTAATGTTTTCCTCTCTTCTTTCTGCATTTCTCCACAGATTCAGCTGGAGAACAGTTTCTCTGAATGATGTAAGACTACTGTAAGATTTTTATTCAGAAGTGAGTTTGTGTGGATGTGACATGCAGTAGTTTCACAGGTTATTATTTCTGAGGGTTATGAAATGTTCAAAGCTCTGCTCTGTCAGCAGCTCCGGTGGCATCATTTACATTTGGCAGACGCTTCATCTGAAGTGACTTACACTGAATTCAAGATATATGTTTGATCAGTTCATGCAATCCCTGCGAATCAAACCCGTGATCATAATGCTCTGTGTTTGAGCTACAGGAACACGTTTAATGTCACAGATGAGAAGCTCAGCTCATCCTCTTCTTCTGCTCTGGCTTGTTTCCTATAGTCTCGCTTTCTAATAAACCTGGCATTGTACACTGTGCATATTACTGGCTCTGTGACAAATTGCTCATCCTTCTCTATTGTGTATCATTTTGGATAGAAGCCTCTCCTAAATGCATAAATGCAAATGTTATTTAAAAGCCAAACTGTGGTTGCTGTTTCTAAAACGATCGCCACACATCTTTAACATTACACATGCTAACTTTCACTGATAGGTTTGAATTTTATATCCACAGATATCTCAAGTGCTCGACCTCAATTAAAAGGGCTGCGATTGATACCCAAGAGCTCATTTTTCTCTTTAAGTGTTTCTGGATGAGCATGAGAGGCGTCTCATGGCTGGAAGACGGCAGGTTTATTGGAGGCCGTGTGTGATGTTTGGCTTGATGGCTGTGTGAATCGGCTGCCATTGATTTGTCGTCACTCAAACTGACCTGCTGTTTCTCTTTTTTCAGCACGCCTGTTGAAGTAAACGTGTTGATTCTTCCTTTGTATAATAAGGGTGGTTTCTTATGATGAATAAATATTAATTATAGTAGTATAATTAATTGTGAACCAATGAGTCTCATCAAAGTAAGATTGAGTAGCATTTGGGGACAAACCTAATTATCCCCCGTCATGCAATTGATCTTTCAATACAGGTGTTTTTCTGAATCCCTCCAGAGACGAGATCACAGATGTAAAGGTGTGGAATAACTAATGATCCGTCCCACAGCGGCTGGTTATTACGCTCACGGCTGTAAATCTACAGCACGTTTACAGCAGACTCCATCAAAGTGTCAAGACTGAATCGACCTCTTTTATTTTATGCCACGGTTATATGCATGTCATTTATTGTCAGCCGTCTCTCTGCAGGTTGTATCAGTAAATAACACAGAGCTCAGAGGTTTATAAATAAAAGAGTTATAATTAGTCCAAATGAAGGCCAGAGAGGCAGAGCGTCACCTTCAGTGCCGCTGATCATTTGTTCATTTTCCCTGTTCTTGCTGTAATCAATCATCACTGAATGACGGCCGCTTGTCCACGGCATCCCATCAAGCCGGAGAGACCCTCAGGATGGAGGAAAATAACGGATCTCATATGAGATCAAAGTGCCGCAGATCAATGGCTGATACCTGTCCTTTAATAAGCTGAATGAAAAGCTGATATTTCATAGCAGCCACTGTGCTGGTTATAAAACATGCTCAAATGAAGTTGGATATATTGCCTCTACGATGAGATTAAATTGTTTTTACAGTCCCCCCGTGGTTTCATCCTAATGTATTGGAGCTTTTTCACAGACGGCCTGTTTTACCAGCGAGAGCGAGGTTATCAGTGTTTACATCCAGACGTGTGCTGGAGCTGCGCCGGCGATAAGAGACATGTAGGTCAATGCTGAGAATAGAGACGCGCTGCCCTGCGCTTGAAGACGTGTGCCAAGAAATCATTTCCCTGCTAGTACAGCGATTCTTTCAGTGAGAGCCGACGATTTAGAGGCCCAACTAACGTTTAATTGGGCCTTTGGGCATAAAGGTGCAGCTGAAATCCCCTCGTGTCGAGCTAGGGATCAAATCATTCATCAAAACATATCATGAAAAATCATTTATAAACAAAAACTCTCTGCACTATCCTAAAACAGCATGAAAACTAAGGCTGTGCTCAGAATAGCTCACTAGTCTTTCCACATCTATAGTATGAATACTGTGCTGTTGCTCATTTTTAGACATGTAGAGGTCAGACAGTCATGCTGTAGACGCTTAAAGGCACAGCAGTGGAAAAACAGCCTCTTTAATGGTCAGGATCAGAGAGCAGGTAAAAAAAATTATATCATGACTGACAGGAAAAAATACAACAGAAAAGAGACAAGAATTATGATATGAGCCCATGTTTAGTGTTCAGGCAGTTCAGAAGGTGTAACTCCAGTTTTCTGGATGCTTGTTTAAAATAGCTGCAATTTAGTGATGAGTGATGCTTGTTAGTTGATGGTGTTGATGGAGTTTAGTTCAGCGATGTTTATGTGTGTAGTCAGGTGATGGGTGGAGTTTAGTTCAGTGGTGTTTGTGTGTTTAGTTAGGTGATGGGTGGAGTTTAGTTCAGTGGTGTTTATGTGTGTAGTTGGTGATGGGTGGAGTTTAGCTCCGTGTGTCCGGCTGAGGCAGCAGCAGCTCGCGGAGCTTCAGTCGGATTCACAGCTCGCTCTGACCGTCGCGCACTTTCTCAGATGAGTTTCTGTGTTTCCAGCGCGCTGAGTTAGGCAGCTGGAGGACTCGTTTAGCTGAGTTAGGCAGCTGGAGGACTAGTTTAGCTGAGTTAGGCAGCTGGAGGACTAGTTTACTTTAGCGACGTCCTGCTCGCGCGCTCAGCGGTAAGTTTGTGTGATGAAGTGAAGGCGATTATCAGCGGAGGATCGAGGATCGAGCTGCGGGAGGATGAATGTATTTCTCCGGCTCGGATTCTCATTTCTGCTGCTCCTCTGTGCGCTTGTTTCTGCTCAAGGTGAAATATCTACATTAATATCTACACTATATCGCTCTTATTTCACTGCTTTACTGAAGCGCGTCATTGGTATCTGTTGCGTTTCTACTGCTGTCAGTCAACTTTATGTGTTGGAGTTGTGAGACGTGATAAATGACAGGCGAGTGTTTATTCATCAGTAATGCGTGTGTGTGTGTGTGCGTGTGTGTGTGCGTGCGTGCGTGCGTGTGTGTGTGTG